TTCACTAAACCAGTATTTCTTTTTTTTTTAAATTTTTTTGTGGGGGCAGGTAATTAGGTTTATTTACTTATTTATTCTTTTTTTTTTGAGTAAAGGCAGATTTAATCTGAGAGATACATACTGCATAGAGGTAAGGCAAGAGAAAGGCAAAGAAAGAGATGTGGGAACTGGGTGCTCAGGTTAAAGTAGAAGTAGGTGCACACTCCATAGATAAGAGTGCGGGCCTTGCCGTCTCCGAAGGGGAGGGAGCAAGAAAGGGTGGCTGGGCGTGGTGTTGCCAGTTTTTATGAGCTCAGTAGCTTTACACACCTACAGGTGGGACCATTCCAACTACCCTGGGGAAGGGGCTGGGATTCCCAGGAATTGGGCCACTGCCCACCCTTTGGCCTTTTGTGTTATTTATTCTTGGAGGAGGTCCTGGGTTCAATGCTAAGCATGCGCTTGACCACTTGAGCTATCTCCTTCCCACCAACCTGTATTTCTTAAACTATGTTCTGTAGAATGCTGGTAATCTATTAATAAATCACAGGGGTGGAAAAACAATTCACATTTTTATAGAAGCCATATGTCAAGAATAGCAATGGCAGATAATGAAACATCTTTGATTTTTTTGATTCTGAGTTTCAATTATTTTCTCTAAAATTTTGAAAAAACAGTTAATAATATATGTTATTATTGCTTGATATTTTATCATCTCAAAAGTTTCAGAACCTATGAGTTAAACACTGTAAGATGAGCTAAGTTAAGAGAAAACTGAGAAAAGATTGTTGGTATTAGAGCAAATAGTGAATACTGGTCTTGTTTTTGCCACCAATCAGCTATATGACTTTGGAAAATTGATTACCTACGGTGGGCCTCAGTTTCTTCTTCTCTTTTCTTTCCTCTATTCTGCCACATAATCTTTTATAAATGAAATATTTTGTAGAAGCCCTGCCTGCTCATCCTTCCTGCTCCATCCCTATCCCCAGGTGGGACCTCTGCTACCTCAGACTCCATGGAGTCTGTTCGAAAACTGGATCTAGCTGATCTTCCAGGTCTCTTTTGGTTTTTACTGTCTTTGTTTCTGATTTGAAATCTTAGGCAGAATTAGTAATGATGCAGAATATGGCTGGGTCAGGACAAGATCTTAGCATCTGTGGGCAGTTTTTTTTTTTTTAAATTGAAGTACAGTCGGTTTACAATGTTGTGTTAATTTCTGGTGTACAGCATTCTGATTCAGTTACACACACACATATATATATTCCTTTTCATATTATTTCCATTATAGGCTATTACAATGTATTGGATATAGTTCCCTGTGCTATATAGTAGGACCTTGTTGTTTTATCTGTTTTATACATAGTAGTTCGTATCTGCAAAATCCCCTAAACTCCCAATTTATCCCTCCATATCTCTCTTCCCCC